AACTCACGGAACTCCTCCCTAGTCTCTCCGCCAGCCCGCCAGATCGTAGTGGTCAAGAAGAGTTCGGGACACTCCATGTTCCCTTCCATTGGTGGTCCGTTACTTTTGATCTAAAGAGCTACAATGCTCTCCTTTTCATTGGCGGCCCACCTCCTATGACCCACAGCATTGAACAAGACTTTACTTTCTTTCCAGTTTTCTTTGACACTCCAAATCACGAACGGACAAGGTATTAACGCCCCCCCCCTCCGGGAGATTACGACCCCGAAACTTACTTCATTCGTTTTTACCAACCGATGTATTGTTTAGCAAACCCACGTGGACGTTTCGAAGGCAAAGTCGCAATCGTGACAGGTAATACTGATGAGCTCCAAAAAAGAGAAGGTATGTAGTCCGCAGTTATTCTTCAGGTTCAAGCAACGGTATTGGACGTGCAACGGCGGTGCTCTTTGCCGAAGAGGGAGCGAAAGTCACTATCACGGGACGAGATGCAGAAGCGCTTGCAGTAGGGTGACCTGAAGGCACAATCCAAGCTGATTGGATGGGCGCACTCAGGCATACCATTGCGCTTTCCTCGCTCCAGCCTTGCTGAGACAGTGAGGAGTTGCGCGTTAGGAAGGCACAATGGTGGGTCTGGTTCCGCCCATGCGGCTAGGGTGGACTGTGACTTCAAATCTTTTTCATCGGAACTCGCAATAAGTAAGTCATTTCTAACGTTCAGACGACAAAAAAGGAAATGCTAAGTGTGGGAGCGAAAAACGAAGATATTGTGGCAATTCAAGGAGATTTGATTGATGAAAGTGTGCAGAAGAAACTGATCGACGCTACTCTTGAAAGTTTCGGAAAAATCGACATATTGGTGAGTGTCATTGACCATCCCTTTTTGCTGAGGGCTGAGCGCTTGATATGTCGTTCTTTCCTTCTTCTTATCCTTCACTTTAGTCCTAAAACGCGGCGGTGTCCGCTCTTTGATATTGCGCCACCGTTTCTCTCGACTGAATGTACGCTTTGGGCGGACGACAATTGCCTTTGACTCCTCGTGCGTTACTCGGGGCCGTTCGTTTGGGGAAGTTGTTCGAGCACGTCGAGGCTCGCGCTGGCCTGTCTTACAGAATGGAGTCCGCCCTTACGCGCGGTAGTGCGACGGCCATGACACCGAATTACGTGACTCCGTTCGAGTCTGCACAGATGTGGCTTGCAAGAAGACGTTAGGGTGGTAGAAATACCCCCAAACAACTTAAAACGTCTCCTCGTACGTAATCGCCTCTATGACTATTCATGTGATACCCCGGAATGTGTGGTGTGCCCCTCCGGTAGAGCAGGTGATTGCATGAAATCGGGGGTGATCTATTCAATACGCTGCCTCACATGTGATAGTGAATATGTGGGGGAAACGGGCCGTCCTTTGTGCGTACGTGTTAAAGAGCACTTGGATGGCTTGCGAAGATCACAGGTCCGGACGCCACTTGGTAGCCATCGTGTTGAGTATCATGGGGATGCCGAATTTCAGGTGACGGTGTCCATCCTGGCACAGGAGCCTGAAATCACAGCGCGGAAAACCTTGGAAGCGTTTTGGATTTCGGCGAAAGACCCCCTAATGAACAGAAAGGAGGAATGTTTAGCCATAACCCGTGAACTCGCGCCCTTTGCCGACCTTTGCGGTTTTTGATCTACATGAGGTCGAGGTCGCGGGTTGGAGGTAGCAGCTCACTATCAGTACTACAGCTTGGTGGTCGGTCTCACGTCGTCGCGGCTGAGATCTAGGTAAGCCTACTCACCTTATCGATCGATACCGTTAGGTGGTTTACTAGGATCTCGAAATAGTCTTAAGTTTTGTTAAGGCGTTTGAGGGGACAGATCTCAATTGTTCTTGGACTCTTTCAGGCCCTGACGAAGGCGAAGTAGCCGAAACGTTGGCCAATAAATTATAACAATCTTGGACGGCTCAATCTATACACCTGTTTGAAGATACATCAATGCCAAGATTAAGAGAAGGTCGATCCTGGACGATTCTAACGTAACATTTTCATCTCCATCATGCTGAGGCATGAATCGATTTCTTGGTCACAGGCCAGCACTCCGTCGCATACCTACTGGCCCAACCACAGCTCTGGTATCGCTTTTTCACAGAGAACAGTCATGAAGCACCGTTTAAATCATGCCGCACTCACGCGCGAGTTCACCGGCCAGCCTGCCATAGAACACAATTTCTGATGCAAGATACTTGAAGGTCTTTGTACGAGGAAGCTCAGTGCTCACGATTTTAATAGAGCCGGTCTAGCTTAAGCCGGTCGCACCAAGTCCTCGATCTTCTTGATGTTCAGGTCAAGTATGAACCTTTGTCAGTCAACCAAAACAAGCTCGCAGCTGTTGCTCGAGATCGTTCTTTATCTTCACTAACGAGCACCACATCGTCTGCATATAGAAACGTCCAAGCTAGCTTTCTGAGGGTCTCAAGGGATGACATCTAGACGGCCACCAGGAAATATGTGGAGAGCGGAGAGCCTTGATGTACCCCGACCGTAAAGGGAAATTCCACCGAAGCGCCTATCGGTGTTCGTACGCGGCTCTTTGAGGAGGTGTACAGCATGCTCACCCACTCAATTAGCTCTTCGGAAACGCCGTGTGTCGCAAGGCGTACTATACAACTTCACGCGGAACGCAGTCGAGTGCCTTTTACTGGTCCAGAAAAGCTAGATGCAGTGGCTCTCGCTGCCACGATGTCTCTCCAGCAGAGGA